GGGTCGATGTTTGAACACCCGACTTTTAGAACACAAGCGATCATTAAGAACTGATATTCATTCTCACATAAAGAGACAGTGTTCCCAGTGTGGCTGCTCACCACTGTTCAGTGACACAACCGTAGTCTTCCGTCATGGAAACCAACTAACCAGAGAAATTGTCGAAGCCTTCCACATTAAAAAAAAAAGAAAAGAAGGATGCATTAGTCAGCCATCGGTTTCGTTAAGTGACCGAGAAGCCAGCTACCTCGAAGGACTTAATTGAGATCAGTGTTTGCATGTGTCATACTCTCCTTTTTGTCGTTTCAAAAGTTTTGTTTCAAACACTAGTGAATTCCCGCAAAATTTTTTGGTTTTTTGATGTGATGTTACCCAGGGCTGTTTTAGTTATGTCATCTTAAAGTGTAAGCGTAACTGCCGTGTACTATCACTTGAGTTTGCGCAAAAGCTTCTGTTGGCAATGATTCAATGTTCGTAGTTCTTTTCTGTGTCGCTAGGGTTATGGGTTATATATGAAGTGCTGCTTCTGAAATAAAATTAGTTGCGAGTGTAGCGAGTGTCGTGTGTTCTTGTTCTCTTCGTCCCCGTGAAAATTGCGCTACTACACCATATGGTTAAATGATGTCTCACCAACTAGCCCAGCTCTCAACCCTACTGAACTTCACGATCAATGTTTAACCAGTTCTAGTATACGGTACGAGCTCACGGCTCATCGCTGTCGAACGACGGATAAGCAACATTGCTTGGCGGGTACCATTCTTCATAGACGTCACTCTATGTTGCCAAGATTTAGCGAGTGGTGTGGAATGGACAATAGATGTAAGGACACGAAAAAGTGATCACTTTCTACCACCATACCATAAGCAATCTTGACCAGGGGACGCAGTCAATAATGAACTGCAAGGCTATCCTATTGGTTTTCGCTTAAGAATAAAAGTTGTCAACAACTCGCTTCATAACTTCCTATACATAGCGGAAAGTTATTGTTTGTATGTTTCAGCAGTCATATTCGAGTAACAGGTTGCCATTCAATCTGTACATTGCATATACTCTGTGTTTCTTCTGTTCTGATGGTACAGTAAAAATATCGTCATATATGTAACTGCAAACGCTCTATTCATGATTCTCGACCCCTTAAAAAGCTAACGAGTTGCCGGTGCCTGATTCGTGCACCCACATCTCGTCATCTGACGTCAATATAAAAAGCAGAGCTCCACCTACAACTAACGAAATCATAGAAACCAGTGAATAGGGTCATCGACTTGTCCGCCGAGGTTGTACAGCTGCTCACGGTGAATAAGAGCTGGCCCGAAATGTGTGAGATCGATCCCTTCCTCGGTTATCGCATTTCGATGGAGACGAAAACGCCTGAAGTTCGTGTACGGTTTGACGTAAGTGGCAGTAAGCAACACCGCATGCTCGAAGCATCCGGTACCCCGCTTTACGGCGCCAGTCATGGCGTCCGTAGGTTTGAAGTGTTAAGACTCATGGGCCAAACCAACCAACTTGAACACCAAATTTGCTTACAAATATGCCGCCGCGATATCTATCACTAACAAAGAATTACCAGTCGGTCGCCTTCACAAAAAGCTGCACGATTGCCTAATTGAGCTGCTGAAACAACAGATTTTCAAGCATAAGTATAGTGGTAGGAGAGATCTGCTTCTGGGTGCACGCCTGCGCGATGAGACACTCGTTGATCCTCAAAGCCACTGTCTTGTAGCAAGTTATCTCGCGTTCAGCTACATTGATACTTGTGCAAACAACCACAAATACATCAAGAAATCAGATGCAGGTAATGAAGCCTCATGCTTGGGACCTCAACTCTAAAACGTGTCTTTTAAAAGCCGTATTTGTCGCTTGATATATCTATTATAGCAGACACCACAGGCAAAAAAAATTTTCTTGGCTGAAATGCTGTAGGGAATAAATTGATCCCCGCTAATTTTTCAGACAGTTGCAGCTAGTTTCGACGTGCCTTGACTAATTTTATGTGTGGCTGCAAGGTTGACTGGTACACAATCGAGGAATTGAAGCCACTTTTGCATTCTTGAAAAAAAAGCAACAATCAGACTCGAGACCTTAAGGCTACCTAAACCATTGGCTCCTGCAAATACATCTTTCAGTAGCTTTTCATCTCAGAGGCATTCATCTATATTTTGGCACGAATGGCACGTCCTTGGGACTCATCTGGTCTGTAATGTGCGATTACACACGTAGATGGTATACAGCCCGTGTGCGGAAGATCTGCAACACAGTCTCAAAACAAACTTCGTTGCACAACAGATCCCTTGGTACACCAGCGTGCGTCTCTGCCATATTTGTTTGTCATTTCATCAGCTTTCATTTCGTCATCACAAAGCTCAGCTCTGAGGTCATATGAGTGCACGTGAGAGAGTTCATACGTGTTGACGTAACCTTGGCGCGATATTGTTGGCCCAGATTCAGAGAAAATATAGCTGTATGTCTGTTGCGAAATGTGACGCAGATATAGAACCATCGCTGTGCCCTCGGGCTTCGATAAGTGGATGAAAACAAGGACACACGTAATGCGGCTGTGTCCATTGCGCCGTTCATGGAGGCGCCGACGTCGTAAAAACAGCGAGTGAGAGAAGAGAAAGCAGGTATTCCCGTCCAGCGTCGATAATGTACAAGAATATGAACTTTTTCGATCGGAGGCTAAGTCTATGTAATAACACGTGGATGCAAGCTTCTGCGCAAAATAAACCGGCGAGAGCGGATAATGGGGCAAGAGCTGCCCAGTACTGACCAATTGTGGTGGAAGCCAAGTGCAAAAAAAGAAAACAACCCATAAAAGTAACAAGTGCACCGAAGGTGTATACGGGTCAGCACAAACGACAATTATTAGAGCGGAGTGATTTGATATTTATGTTGTCGCATTTCCACCAGAAAGCTGGAGTGATCGTAGCAATGAGACGGCAATAGGCCTAACTGTCAAGAAAGTTTGCGTTGTTTTATCTGTCTTACATTTGTCGGCCGTTATTCGGACACATATTAAAAAACAAGCATGGTGCTGACGCGCGCGAAAGATACTCGAGCGCTTGATGTTCGAGTATATTCTAACACTCCACTGTTCCCTGGATGACGCACTCGTGAAAAACGATAAAACAATTGCCACCTAATTTACAATAAGACGTCCTGATACCACGTCGCATCAAGCCCATCTCTACACGAGGGTCGCGAAAACGCCGCCAAGCGGGTTTCGAAACATCGGTGTTGAGTCGATGAAAAGCTGTCAAACGCCACAAAACTAAACGTTTAAGAAAAGGAAGTCAAGTCGTCAGCACGTGAGCAGACCAGCAGACAACGTCTGCCATTCACCTGATTTTCTGTGCTTCTCATGGACTGAGTTTCAGTCGGGTTTATTGGAGAAACTACAGTCAAACTACAGGGCATCGAAAAAGAAAACCGTGAGCGTACGTAAAATCAATGTGAGATTACTAGCTTCATAAATATGCAGAATAAAGAATTTATTCAACAGATCGAGCTTATTAGCCAATCATTCCCAGCACACAACTTGAGTTCTGACATTCACTCTTTCCGTAATCGCACATATTTATTAACTGCTACAGTTTCAGTAACCGTGCAGCATATATTCTGTAACTTTACTCTCTTTTTACCGTTGAAGAATTTTTTTACAAAATTGGTCAAGCGCTTTTGAATATTTAAAGTGGTTCATAATAGGGCATTTCATTACTTTCTTCACCCTATCCGCCAAGCGCCTTCTGCGCTCATAATCACCATTGAAGCGATTTGCTATGTTGCGAAACCATATTTAGGCGTTTAATTTCATCACACGGAGAAAGCAAAAGCAAAAATGAGAACACAACTCATTTCAGTAACCAAGAAATAATTTTATTGTGCTGAAACGTAAGTTGCTGATAATTCATTTTTTGGCAGTGTGGTGCAATAGATTTCTCCGTATTATACTTCGTGCAAGCTCAGTATGTGCAAAAAAAATTGCACCATCTTCCCGAAGGGAAATCTGATAGCCTGCGAAGTAGCAGCGTTGCGCATGGGTGATATCATGGGTTGAACGGCGCTAACGCGGGTGCTTTGGTGAGCGCTAGAAGATTCGTTTCAAGCGATGGCTGTGTAGGTCTCGTAGACGACACGCACAGACAGGTTGAAACGCGTACGTTTGGCGCGCACGTCAGGTTTTTGCGCGTGAACTGACGAGTCCGCGGTGTAGCGAGTGCCGGTTGCGGCAGGTGTTGCGGCCAAGGGCCGTTCCACGCGCTGCCAGCACAGCCGCAACACACGTGCCGGAACCCCTTCCGCACGCAATCGGGAGACAAATAAGCCAATAAATAGGTGACGTTCTTTCACCCTCCACTTGGGTGAGGCAGGTGTGCCGACACGTGCGTTGCAGCTGAACGGCTAGCGTATGGAACGGCCCGAACTGATGAGGCAGCGGCTGCGGGCACCGCGGCGAGCGAGCGGCAAGGTAGGGAGGAAGTGACGTCAGCGTGGACTGCAAGCGGAGCGTGACGTTAACGCGCAGCAGCGGCGTAACCTGCTTGAAACCTTGCCAACACCTGCGGCGCGTGGCGTATTCGTACGGAGGGACAGCGTTACACAAGCTATTCAAAGTCCTGCTTCGCATCTAATAAGCTCATTCTTAAACATGTTCTTAATTTTCACCAATCACCACAACTATACGCGCTTTCATTCTATGGATATATGAACGTCATCTCCATGCATTTTCAGCAGACGTTCTTCAGCGAGACTCGCGTGTCAATAATATATGACATGCATGTACGCAGTGTCTCTGTATCGCACCACAAGCGTTGAAATGCGGTCTGTGCACGGAGTGGCTTGCTACACACGCACGCATAAACACGCTCACATGTATTCCGAACATTGCGTTATTCACACACATGCGGGCATTCACATGGTGGCAGTGCCAGCCAATGCGTACCGAGAGCCTCTCCTCAGCAGTCTTGGCATCGACAATGTAAGTGACCTCCGTGTAGTCGTCAGTAAATGTCTCTGACATCCACTTCGGAGTCAAAGAACCGAGACCGAAACCACTGAGATGTGCAAGAGGACTCTTGGGCCAGCTTCTGCCACCTCCGCGAACGCGTCAGTGCAAAGTCCAAACCGAAAAAAGCGACGGCGCAGGTGGCGCACATGGCAGACAACATGCGGTAGAGATTCTCGTACGAGCCCAAGGTGTCCCGAAACACACCTGTAAGCGAAAAAAAGAGATCACGATCACCTGTTAATACAGGAGCGAAGTATACGTTGTCACAAAGATTGAGCGAGTCACAGTCCGATGAAAGCACCAAGCATAAACAAAATGAGAAGCAATTAAGCAGGCTGCCGTAATCTTTGGAGGTCACAGCGAAATTGGTAGGTGCCTGACCTGGTCCCAGCTTTTCTAGGCTTTTACCCTCTCACTTCTCCCTTTACCACCTCTTGCTATACTACACTATAGATTGCTATGCTTGCTGTCATTCTTTAATGTTTTTGTCTCTGTCTTTCTACATCTTTGTCTTTACATCTGATTCCTTGTCTTTCTATCCTTTTCTTTGTTACCTTTCTGTCAGTTCATTTTTCTCTTCAACTCTTTTTCTCAAGTTCTTTCGCCTTCTATCTTTGTATGTCTTCCCTTTACTTCTATCCTTTCTTTTTTCTATTCGTTCTACAGTCCTTCATTTCTCCTCACATTGTATTCTGTTTCGCACCCAATCGCTATAATGTAGTACGAACTACCAGCGTGCCTCGATAGCCGAGTGGTTAGGACACTCGCCTTCGAATCGTGCACGTGGTACGCGGGTTCGAATCTCGCCTTGCCGAAACTTTTCTCGCAGAAACGTATCTTTTTTGTTCAGTCTCGCTCTGCACACTGTTTCTCTCACCCATCAGTTGTTACAATTCCTGTCGGACAAATTGGAGCACTCGTTCTCAGAGCACAGCAGAAGAGCAAGAGGAAAAATAGCGCGTTCATGAGGATGAAAACTTTTTTTTCCTACGACACACGACAAACCTTGGGCCCAACAGCGTGAAAAAATGTAGAGTATCGATAGTTATGCATTAGCATAAAGGTTTTGATGCTTTATGACATTGCTGAACGAGGCTGACATATTGCTCTGGAGCTCTCTGTTGAAACAGTGAAGTGTTTCACTTTCATCCCGGCAGCGGCAGCAGCATTTCCCATGGAGGCGGAAATGTTGTAGGCCCGTGTGCTCAGATTCGGGTGCACGTTGAATAACCCCAGGTGTTCGAAATTTCCGGAGCCCTCCACTACGGCGTCTCTCATAATCATATGGTGGTGTTGGGACCTTAAACCCCACATATCTAAGTGCTTAACTTTCACAACTAATTCCTTTCTTCATTCATTACAAGGCGTTATTTGCCATTCTACGTACTGCTGTCGCTGAGCCTAGGTTACAACGGGTCACCAACACGTACTGTAGGTGACATATACACGTCATCGAGGGCATACAGAGAACCTTTTGCAGGTGGGTGCATCAAAAAAAGCGTAGTTGGGGGCTGGCATTGAGCACAGGCAGCCTTCCTTTCACTGCCCTGACATTTGTAATACACTATTGTGTAACGTTCACAGTTGGCTAATAATCCTGCAGTCAGTTACGCCCAGAAATACGGGACCTGGGTAAGCTAATTAAGCTTTGTAGCGTATCGATACTGCATATGATGATGATACGTAGGTTTTTATGGTGCAAGAACCATGCTTGTGCAAAGAGCACTATGAACAATGATGAGCGAAGAGTCATGGTGCATGATTGAAAGAATATAAACAGGGTATGTACAATGATACGATTACCGGGCTGTAAAGAGCCCTAAAATATCGCGTCCTGAGGCGGGCAAAAGTTAAATATTTGAAAATCATGGAGATGACGCAAAACGCGTGCAAATGACAGTTTTGGTGGCAAAGGCCGCCGTAGCCACGACCTCTATACAGAGGCCAAGCTACGTATCACCTCATAATATGGGGTTAAAACTAGGCAGATCTTTGAAAAATATAGACAGTGATTGAGGATTAAAAAGCGCGTCCCTGTACCGATGCGCATAACAGATTGTAGTGGAAGCTGCTGCCGGTAGGGCAACAACAAGTGATTTTTTTTCTTAAGGCATCTAATTCGTTGCACTTGAGGAGGATGAGGATAACCGTTAGTGGTTCTCCACATCTCTCACGCAATGACAGACCACCACCAGATAGATGAATGTGTTCAGAGTGTATGTCGTATTTGTAGCCTGGTGTTAGTTGCGTGAAGCGTAATCTCGATACTGTTGGCCAGTTGGCAAGTCTCGGCTATAAATAACATGCAATATGTCCTCCGTTTGCCTATCCCATAGGTGCTGCCAAAATTTCCCGTGTTCACGTCGAAGAAAACACTTCGTGTCAACTGCAGGGACAGCCATGAATATATTGGTGGCAGAGTTGTCGTGCGCGGATGCAGCTAGCTGGTCTGACACCTTGTTTCGAGTTATCTCGTGTTGCCCTAGCACCCAACACCCTATATATGTCGTCAGAGGTTGTAGATCGTGCATAAAAGGGTGTAAAACGACACAAGGACATAGTTTGTACGTTTTTTCCAGAGGTTTCAAAGCTGTTACGACGCTCAGCGAATTCGTAGATATATAACCGCACGTTATAGTTGCAATTTCTTAATATGCTTCACAGCCACAGATATCGCATAAGCTTCTGCGGTGAAAATGCTTGTTCAAACGTGGAAAATAGAGTAATTTCAAAACGATGGGGGAGCAGCTGCACTGGACACCCACGTATGAGACTTTAACGCATCCGTCAAGAATTCTGGACAAGCGTATTTACGCTGAAGTACAAGGAAACGCATGCGGATATTTGTAGTAGATGGCTGTTCAGTTATTTCCCCGAACGATACGTCACAGTCTGTAACCGCCACTGTCACGGTGACAGATATGATACACGGGCCATCAAACACTGTTTTAGTAGTGACACGCTTGTGTATTCAGCGAGGCTCCTCACGCAAAGTGAGTAGGGCTGTTTCAATGAAGGATGGTTGTGGAACGAGGCAGAATGAGAAATAATTTATTGTGAAGTAAGTGGAATGTTGCTCTCTGCATTCAGCGTGAGATAGTGCACAAAAGACATGTATAATGAAGAACAAAGACAGTGACACCATGAGCTAAACTATCATTACCACGAGAATAAGCACGAGATCAGTGATCGAGCGCTTTCTTATTGGTCCGCCTGCATTTTTTTTTTCGAGCTACCACCCGCTTGCTCGGCTCGTTCAGAAACCCCTTTTCAATTTAGTGGAGGTGCTGGGTATCGATCCCCGGACCGTTCGCCGGGGGTAAGTACAATAAAGAAAGATCGTGCTGCTATGGGATAAAAAAGTGCTCGATCACTGATCTCGTGCCTTCTCGTGGTATGATATAGTTTAGCCCATAGTATCACTGTCTTTCTTCATTATGCATGTAACATCTCTGGAGGTGTAGCGACCATTCATTCGTTTCTGCATACAAGCTTTCTACGGGGCTCTTGTAGGAAGGCGAATGCCTGGAGGATGCACAAGGTCTAGCTTCTTTGAATATGATGGTGTAATGCGCAATCTAGGCACGTCATTTAAGCGCGTGCCTACGAGGCACGCGCTTACAAATTTAGCAGACATTTCAGCAGGCAAACCAATTCAGCAGGCATTTCTTGCCCCCCTGCGTATTGCTTGGCAACACTTTCAGAATATTTATTGTTTTAGGCAACGTGTTCTTTCAATAATAGATCTATGGTGTGAAGGTTAGTCTTGTGTCTAATATTAGATCATACACTAACGCTCAGAGTTTACAAACATACGTTGACGATGCAGGTCAATCTCGGGATCGGGATGAAGGCCTCTCTTCCGACGGAACAAGACGCAAGTCCTTTTTAGCGCGTTAAGTTTGAAACCATTCGCATTTGGCCACTGAAAAACCTCGTTCAAACCTAATTTATTGTGACACTCATATACTGAGAGGCTACACGATTTAAAACCGACCTGTAGATCATCGCCATATGTGCAACAAAACATATTGCGTGGGATCAACAGGCGCAGGGAGCTTATTTTGACTATGAAAAGTGTACAAATCAATAAGCCTTTTTGAGTCACTCCTGTTTCTCTGACAAATATCCGAGATAAGACAGCGCCTAGTCAAACACAGGATGTCCGGTTGGACAGGTAGCATGCGATGATTGTCGGCATCCTACCCCGCAAAACTAAATGTGACTGGTCTCGCAATAAGTCAAAGAGCCATGAAGGGCCATAGGCCTTATATCAAAGAACATAGGCCTTTATATGAAAGAACACAGAAATAAAACCTTGCCTTTTAACAAAAGCGTCGCGAATTTGTGCCCATAAACACGGACAAGGTGCTAAGTATTGAACTTACCTCTCGAGACCCACACTGATATGAGTCAAGTAAGTCATTAGTCTCAGGGGAATGCATCATCGCCTGTTCATCATTTTCTCAAAGACCTTACAGAGACAGCTAGTTAACGGCTATTGGCATGCAGCTTAAAACTGGGGACGGGTCTTTGCCGTGTTTCAAAATGGGGATAACGACGGTTTTCTTCGAGGCTGAGGGGAGCTCGTCAGAATACCATAACACGTTATACAGGGAGAGGAGGGCTTCTTGTTTCCGATGGGCAGGGGCTTTGGGCATTTCATACGCCACACGGTCGGGGCCTGGGGCAGGTTTATTGCAGCAGATAAGAACAACCTATAGTTTAGCTAAAACGAAACATTTATTGTATGTCTCCTGTACCGAGCATTAGCGCTTTATTGGCTGTTTTTGTTTATTATGGTTATATGGCATTGGAACGCTTCAATGTAGTTTGACAAGCTGGACAACTGCTAGAAGTGCGCCCACAGAGCGTTCTCCTCGTCTTCCAAGCTTTCCCGTTGTATGTTAACCAGAGGAAGAGGGTGTGCTATTCGTCCTGCGGTCTTGCCAACCATGTTCCAGGCTCTAGCCCTACATTTATAGGAATTGATGCAGGTTGAAAATTTCTGCCAGCTTTCCCTTCTAGCTTATCGACACGCACTTCTTCCATGAGACTTGATGTTCTTGAAACCACAAAGGTTCTCGGCTGTCGGTGAGTTCGCGAGTAAACTCCATGTTTTATTTTAATTTTTTTTGCTTTTTGCGTGCCTTTTGACACTCACTATTCCACCAAGGGACGCGTCATTTTGCGCACAGTCATGTTTGTGAAATACACTTTGTTGCAGCATTAATTAGAAAAGCTGTAAAATAGCCTACAGCTGCATCTACGCTTAAACCACACATATCAGACGAACTTCACAACTGTAGGTTTAAAATTACCAGCACAGAACTGGTAATCCTTCCCATTTTGAAGAAACTGATTGTACGATAGCTTTTTCTATGCTGCATTCCTGTCTATAGAGAGCTTTGAGAAATCACTCCATCAGGGAAAATTTGAATTCGGGTTAACTCACGACACCACTGATTCAGATTTCTCGTGGGAATTCTTTAACGCAGAACAAATGCTCAGAGCCTTCGATTTCGTGCTTTTATGCGATAGAGTAGCCAGCCAAGAAAATAAAACAATCCTTCAATTTCGATAAATTTATGTGCGTATAAGTTTTAGAAATTGATGAGGCTATCAAAGTTTCTATTTTTACAGTTATCGTAAGTGGTTGCTATATGTTGTGTTATAAACGACTGACCAAGACGAAACATCAATGTTGGAGTTTGTAAAACTTAAATCCAGCGCTGAAGAAGTATGAGTGCCCACATATGTTCGGCTTCCCGAATTAAAACATGAAAAATTACTATACCAGCCCTAATACCATGACCGGCTGCCACTCGTTTACGTTCTTACTCTCCATGTAATATGATAGTTGAAGTCACTTACTACTAAAATATTTTCTCCGCGCGTAGATATTAGAGTATCTATTGGTCGAATGTCATGTACACCTGAAGGAAAGTAAGCATTTACTAGGGACAATACCTGACCAGTGTGGAGAGTTCAGCCTAGAATTCATATCTGGTATGCCGGAGACAGGAGCTTTAACGTCGGTTTGGCTTTATAACAAAGTTTGTTCGAAATCATCGTGACCAGCGACCGAGTGCAAAGAGTCCTTCGGCCTCTTCGTCACGCACACACGTGCATCATCCTAGAAAATGGCAATATTCATGTAGCATCATGACAGTTTTGCGGAAACTTTTTTATGTATATACAAAACAACGCTGGTTCAGGTTTTTAAGTTCAGGAGGCTTAAAAAACACGATACTTAAGGGCACGCTGCTATGTCTCCTTAAGCGAACTTTGTTCACAAAAGAAGCAAGCTGCGCGAATGCTTGAAAAACCAATAAACACACTACGGCAAAATACGAACAGTAAGGCGTCACTAAACGTAATCAACAAGTTCAACGTGACGCAAAGGGCATTGCAGTGTTGGCATACGCCCATATTTATTTTATTGATTCATACGAGATGTTTAACGTCCCAAAACCACCATATGATTATGAAAGACGCCGTAGTGTAGGGTTCCGGAAGTTTCGACCCCCTGGGGTTCTTTAACGTGCACCCAAATCTGAGCACATGGGCCCACAGCATTTTCACCTCGAAAATGCAGCCGCCGCAGCCGTGATTCAATCTCGTAACCGGCGGGTCAGCAGGCGAGTACCTTAGCCATTGATTGATATGTAGGGTTTAACGTCCCAAAACCACCATTTGATTATGAGAGACGCCGTAGTGGAGGGCTCCGGAAATTTTGACCACGAGTACCTTAGCCACTAGACCACCACGGCGGGGCTATGCCCGATTAATCCTTAAACGGTGAAGCATACTGCAAAAAGACGCTTATCAAGAAACTCTGAGTTAGTTTACAAATAAAATGGGTTGGATAAGACATAAGCCATAAATCTAGCTGTTGGCTCCAGTTTATATGATATTTCCGATCACAATTTTCGATAATATTCGAAATATAAAGTAGCTGTAATAACTTCAACACCATTTCTTCCCCACAAAAGTAGTGATCAATGAATATTGTGAAAAAAAACGCGGAGGAGTCACAAATTGTCTATTTCGAAAAATTGCGCGCGTACCTCTGTGATTTCCATCAGGCTATCGCTTCCAGTCATTAACGTAGCGAGGGGATGGCACACACGACCATTCCCCCTTCCCCCCGCTAAATATTTTTGCCAAGGCATACAGAGCGAAAAATGACCATGTCTTGAGAAGTGCATCTCCCCCCGTTAAAGAATTGCTGTCTACGGTCATGCTTCCTGTAGCATACCAAGGGCTGGCGTGCTGATAAATGTGTGTAAATATGTACCATGCAATAAAATAAATCTGCAAAGTGCCTCCACGCCCCATATTTTGTATTGAACTACATGAATGTGATCGCACAAGAGGGAGGTTGTTACCACAAGCTGACGCACTGAAAGAATTACTATATATATTGCCGCTTACCTATGAGAAGAGGCCCACCGAAGGCGACAGGCAGCAAGGCGACACCGGCGATGCCCCAGCACACCGATAACTTCTCCACACCGAAGTGATCACTTAGCACCACGGGCTTCAAGGCCACTATACAACCCGCCGGAATGCCCGTAACAACGGCAGTCGCCACGACCTGCGGAAAAGAGGTGGCGTGTGGCATAGCGATCAGGCAGATAGCTTCAGCCAGCAGGCACATCGCCACCAGGAGGTAGCGGCTGAGCCGCGCACGATCCCAGAAGAACGGTATCACTAGCCGTCCCAGCATTTCAGCCGTAGCAACGTACATGACCATGGGTTCTGCTTGACGCCTCGCGGCGCCTCTGTCTGCCGCATAGTCCAAGACTGTCGTCTCGAAAGTGATCGTAGTGTACTCGCCGATTGTGAATGTGCCTACGAGAATGTAAAGGACTGGGTTCTTGAGGAGCACCAAGATGCTGCTCCAGACGCTGTTTGGTGTCTTCGTTCGCGCGAGGCAATTTTCGTCGTGTTCCGCGCGAGATGACTTGCAGCATCCTTGGCACGTTATCTTGGCGGGTCCTTTTGAGGGCGGGAAGTTCCCACCATTAACCCTTGCACAGCCCTTATCAGCCGGAGAGTGAGCGGTCCCGTTTCGGTGGCACACCTCGTCCTTCTCTCGAACAACGTCCGTCACGGTGTTCAGCTTGTAGCCTGTCCCACACGTAGAGTCAGAAGCGTTGTTATTCTTAGTACGCAACACGGTGGCATTAGATGAGTTGCTCTGATGTCCACGAAAGTCTTCCCAGAACACATCGCCACCATTTTTTATAGTTCCCGAATAAACGGCCTTTGGTACGCCATTTGCATCTACTCCACGATGGCTGTCTATACCACAGCTATCCGTGTTTTTATCAGCAGGGTCAACGCTTCGCCAACCGCAGCGTATGTTTAGAGGCCGGGGCTTGTTCATGAGCATGGCGACGGGCAGGGTGTTAACAGTGATTGCCGAGAGCAACAGCAAGCCGCCGTGGAGGCCGTACTCTCTGAGCAGCGCCGATAGAAGCAGAGGGAAGGCGAGCGGCGCCAACGTCATCCCGGTGTACTTGAAACCGCTGGCGGTGGCGCGGTACTTGTCGAAGTACAGCATGTTATATATCGACAAGCAGAGCATGATCATGCCGACAGATAAACCTGCAACAGGCCAAATAGAGAATATGCATGCCAACAGTGTAGAGGTTGTCTTTACATACACCCACGAGTAAGAGTAAACGTATTGTGGGCTGTGAGGTGAAATGGCCGTATAGGTTGTCTGCGACTAATCAGCTTGAAAGCATTGAGCTGTCTGCGGCACTGCTCTGGTGAATTCGTGCTGAATAATACCCGCAAGAAGAGGCCGACGGCAATTTCGCCAGACACCCCGATTGTACTTTTGTTCCCGGTTTTACATATAATATGCTGCAAATCTAGCCTTTTCTATAAAAAGCGCGGATTTTTTCGCAAATAATATATTCGCATAGTATATTGTGTAAGTTTCTATATTAAATGACAAAAATACTTCGGGAGCGAATAAAGCACAAACCTTGCCACAATATTCCAACAAAGCTGGGAAGACAGCATTTTGACTCATATTGTGGCTTCATTTTCGCAATGCAGTGGTCCAAGTTGAAATGTGTGTTATGTATATTTTGCTGAACGCTTTGTTGGTCAGAAATACAGGAAGGTTAAACGACGATTTTTTTTATTCTAAGCGAGAAAGACAATTTCCAACTTAACAACCTCAACACATTCCAAGTTTGCCTTTGCTTCTATTTACTGCCTAGCACATCAGTGCAAACTTCCTGCAGGGTCTTTTCGGCAGCGAATAATATGTCATACAACTTTTTGTCCTTCGAATTGGTAATACTACTGAATGAATAACGCACGTCTCTTTCACCTCTACGCCTCGCTCATCTGCAACGCTGACAAGCCTATACGAAATCTGCATGGGAAGTTTCTGCAGGGTGCCGAAAAGCTGGCGCTCAAGAATCAGATCTATTTATGTGGTGCCCAAAATTATCTACTGTGGACATCTACAAGCGTCATGCTCACCGCTTAAGAAGCCCAACGTAACACACATCCAGGTCATGTCGGGCACGAAGGCTGAAGCCACTAGTGCGCTGAAGTTCAGCAGACTTCCGGTTATTGTGATTTGGTAGATGGTGAATCTCTCTTGCAACACCGTGACTAGCAAACCTGCAACAAAAATCAACGACGTGGCAGTGTGGACTTGTTCGTGTGACACGGTAAGCGAATGTTTTTATTGTGCAAGAAGAAAAAAATATAAACAAAATTAGGGCGCTATGAGTGACTTTCGCACTGGGCTGATCACTTCATCAAATGTTTCTTTCTTAATCTTATGAGCTCACGTTACCGACAAGTTAGTCGAAAATTTTCCTCACATAGTTCACAGTCTATTTACTTGCCTTATTAAGAACATTTACCAGCGACACAACACGCATTCGATTCTTAAAGACATGTTCTTAACGTGCACTGAACTGTCGCGAAGTTGTTGGCGATGTAGAGAAAGAACATTCGATGATTTACACATTCAAAGCCAAATACTTAATCTTCCGTTACTTTTATCACCAGAAGTAACTTCCTTGCACGCATTTGACAAACATCGCATGATTCAAGACTGCTTATTGATTTTCATGGCGAAATGCCTAATACTGTGTCTCAATGCTTTATGTGTGGACGACATTAACCAATTCGGATAGTGTCATTGTGAAGCACGTTACTGTTTCTCTACCATTGATAGAATGTATGCTAGCCGTTGTTCTGGGTAAGCGACTACGGCAGTACGCTGCCTGTGCACGATGGTGTCGGCTTCCGGGAAATATGGAAACGCCTTCACCATTAGACTTGGGTGTTCTTTGAAGAACCACAGGCCTTCAAATTTATTGCCTATTTCCTCAAAGTAGCATGCCTTATGACATAGTTATATTGAGTCGCAAGCGAGCGACAGTTCTGATTGATTGGTTGATTGATATGTGGAGTCTAACGTCCCGAAACCACCATACGATTCTAAGACACGGCGTAGTGGAGGGCTCCGGAAATTTAGACCACCTGGAGTTCTTTAACGTGCACCCAAATGTGAGCACACGGCCTACAGCATTTTCGCTTTCATCAAAAATGCACCCGCCGCCGCCAAGATTCGATCCCGTGACCTGGGGGTCAGCAGAGAATAATCTTAGCCACTACACTATACCACGGAGGGGCAAGCGACCGTTCTGTAAATCAGCTAGACACCGTTTCATATATATTGTGCAACGCTTCAGAAGCTATGCGAGAAGTTGCATAGCCTTGTGCTCGCGTTGCGCTTCAATTTCGTCGTTGTAAGGGCCTTTCCACGCGCTGCCCGCACAGCCGCAACGCACGCGCCGGGACGCCTGCTTCAACCGAGCGGGGACCAAATAAGTGAATCGGAGACGCTCTTTGACCCTCCATTAGGCGTGGCACGGGTCCCAGCACGTGAGTTGCGACTATGCGAATAGCACGTGAACAGACCCTAAACGGGCCCTCAGTGATTTGGTCCGCCTGCGCGCTACCCGAACTGATCGCGGAGGCCACAATACAAACACACTAAACGATTTGAAATAGTGTTTTGCAAAGTGTGTGAGAAACAGACTATCTTTATTTCTAAAGTACACAATGCATTTTCGTTTATATTTTCACAACCGCTGTGGATCTTCCAGTGTGATTCGTCATCAGCTTTAAAAAGGAACTCTGGTGCATTTTCAACAATACTAAGATAATGCTGTTTTCTAATAGTATTGACAGTCCTGAAAAAGTTAGGGCAGTTCAGTTTGCTCAGGCACTCGTAAACAATTTCCATTAAGCAAAAAACGACGAGTCAAGACAGAAACCGAAACAGGGAGCGGCTCTGTCATCCATGGTGGGTATCCAATGACGTCACGAGATCCGCTACACCCCGCCACGGCAGGCCAGGGTGTAAACAAAGCTCACGTGCCTCGATCTTCTGATGCGCGAGAAGCAAGTCGGTGATGCCATCCGACGCGGAATGAAGCTGTGCCGCTTGTCGGAACCTCCTAGAAGAAATCATGCGCTGCATCCGTCTGCTGCGAAAGGCGGGGTTTTTGAAAAAAGGGTAGGCCCTGATGTCATATACACAGGGTGTCCCGTGTTTACAAGTGTGATTCCAGAATCGGCTACAAATTTTAGAATTTGTTTTCTGAAAAACTGAATGAGTTATGGTTGTAAACTTTGGCCCTTACCCCCACGGTACCAACATGAACACATGTTCGAAGTTTTATTAAGATCGGTGAATATCACCGAAAAAAAAAAACGCCAGAGTTCCCCTCTAAGCGAACGTAAACGACACCAGGTGGTCCAAATTTTCGGAGCCATCCTCGACGACCTCTCTCATTATCATATTCTGGTTTTGGAACGTTAAACCTCAACAATTATCTTTATTCTTACTACATACTTTATTTTTCTCTCTACTTGTTCTCTCATAAGCCGAAGCTGTGAAATCCTACGCAAGCAAAAAAAAGTAGGCAGCCATGTCCTGAAATTAAAGCAAACATAAATAAAAAGCACGTGCAGGCTTATGATGAGGATTTTGTTTAACTAACAAAGCTTCTCAGAGAATAAAGAGCTCCTTCATTAAAACGATAACAAACAGGTCACATTTCCGGATGGGAGAATTATTGAAATATTTCTTGGCGTGGCCGCATAATAAAGTTCTCTATACCTTACTATATACCGCAGCCCCACCGCGGTGGTCTAGTGGCTAAGGTACTCGGCTGCTGACCCGCAGGTCACGGGATCCAATCCCGGCTGCGGCGGCTGCATTTCCGATGGAGGCGGAAATGTTGTAGGCCCGTGTGCTCAGGTTTGGGTGCACGTAAAAGAAACCCAGGTTGTCGGAATTTATGGAGCCCTCCACTACGGCGTCTCTTATAATCATAAGGTGGTTTTGGGACGTTAAATCCCACATATCAATCAATCATTACTATATACCGCATAAATCCCTATAGCTTTCACAGCTTCACATTTGATGTGTGAAATGGAGCATAGAAACGAGGCATCAATGCTCAAAGCTTTCATAAATGCCTCCGGAGGTTTATCTGTAGTCTTACCTATATAAAACGATTCCATTTTTTATTTTTTAACGTGACTTCTTTCGTCGTAAGCGCTTTACAACACGCAGCACCCAATCCTTGAATGAAAAGCACGCTGACAGGCCGAGCAACGCGGGCAGCTTCGAGATATCCTCCTACACCTTGACTTTACGAAGGTTGCGAACGACTCATGGCAGTCATTACCCTCGCCCCATCTATAAAAGCCGCGACACAACAATCACGTTGCAAAAGCGGCCACGCAGCTGTGGGCTAAGCGCTGTCCCAGATCGCTGACCATCACACACGCCGGCCGATTCTCGATTGCCGTGTTTTGAGCGAAGCGGCTCATTGCCAAGGTCAGGGCAATTCCGGACGCGCCACCGGCCGTGCTCGCCGAGTTTCCTCTATCTCGCTCATTCATCTTTCTTCTCTCTTGTTACACAACGCAGCCAGGACCTCGCACTCCATTGCAGAGATGCCAGATGCGACCGAGATAACAAGCAAATAGTCATCACCGAAAAAAACGGAAATGTAACTTTTTTTTGCGATCCTGGCAATGGACTATTTTTAATTGAAAAAAGTCCTGAAACGAGGAGTTAAAACAACGCCTTTGATTATTTCGTACAGCAAAAATATACGGTAATATGAACCGAAACGCTTATTTTCTTTTAGCAATGTGTCCTGGGTAGATGAACGCACGTTCACGTCATTTCATGATTAAACCTACTTTTTGCTTCCCCCATGACTTCAACAGTCAACTACCCCAAGTCACGAAACGCACTCTTGGTTAACGTGATGGTTTATTGCTTAACTAACTATGATTGGCGGGGAAATGGAACTAAGCCTCCAAAAACGCGAAAACTGACTGTAATATTGTGCAAGCGACTTGGCGAAAAACAAGAAGCGCAATGACGCTTATTTTTAGCACAACTGGTAACTGTGCCCTAATCCGACTGCGTTCCACAGTGCATTCCGATTCGATAGTATGACTCAGGCCTAAATACAAGTTGTACGAATATGGCCACTTTCATCTTATAAGCGACCGTTCATCCGAATTGGAGCATTAACGAAGTTCCAGGCTCGTTTTTGATTTTTTTAAACAAACGTTGGTTCCCAATGCATAGGCCCTTTCTGTCAGAAACACTCGTCGTGCAAGTCTCCAAAAGTCATGCTCCCAGAAGAAAAAGAATTAAAAAAGCTCAAACCAAAATGACACGTAAAAACGCATACGTGGCACCTATTAATCTTATCTATAAATTATCGTAACTATGTAAATGATGCGCTATTGCCAACGAAGGATTTGAGGTCTTCTCTAAGTTGTTATTTCTTCTTTCTTTGCGCTGCACTGAAAACAAAGACCGAATATTACGTCTTCAGGCTGCATCACCACCGTCCCTTGAGTGACCAGTCCTCGCAATTAAGTGGCAGTTATTGTCGCTCGAACAACATTATATTCGAGCATTAGAAACATGTGCCACGTTGTAATTCTTCCGCGCAATGCTGAGCGTGAGTTCAGTTAGTTATCGGGTTAATCAGTCAGTCAGTAGATCGGTCGGTTGATGTTTATCAGTGCACTTATTCGGTGCTTCACATGCAGTATTCATACTCTGAGTTAATTTCGAGCGACTGTTGTTTTTAATAAGCATACTATATCTCGGTGAGAGGCTGCTTCTGCATCGAGCAGCGATCGAAGATACGGCCGCCACGGCGAAGAATCAGATGCACCTTCTCTTGCATAAGATATAAGCTTTCACAGCAGCTGGTAAAACTACATCCTATCAGCGAGTGGTCTACACTCGCTGTCATGGCTACTATAGAGATGCTGGCGAACGCTCTTAGGTTTAAGTGCACATATATATTTGGCAAAGTAGACAGCAAGATGACAGCCGCTGTAGGTCAGCTGGTCGAGCATTCGAAGGTCGCAGGTTTGGATCCTGCCAGCAGTGAGTTCTTGTTCCGTCCGCTTTCCTTTCTTCACAATACACTACAATCACCTCAAACAACATTCCTTTTACTTTCCTTGTTAGCTAGCTCTCATTGTTGCCCCGCTGCGGCGGTCTAGTGGCTAAGGTACTCGGCTGCTGACCCGCAGGGCGCGGGTTCGAATCCCGGCTGCGGCGGCTGCATTTCCAATGGAGGCGGAAATGTTGTAGGCCCGTGTGCTCGGATTGAGGTGCACGTTAAAGAACCCCAGGTGGTCTAAATTTCCGGAGCCCTCCACTACGGCGTCTCTCATAATCATATAGTGGATTTGGGACGTTAAACCCCACATATCAATCAGCTCTCATTGTTAGTTGTCATTATTAATGTGTATGACAGACGAAAATGAGCCCCTGATTTCCCTTTCCTTTCTACATGTTATCACCTAAAAAGATGGTTGCGCACAAACTACACATGAACGCAGAAGGCACGTACGAGCGCAAGCATTCTATCAGCGTCACTTTACGGTCATTCAAGGCGTACCTGCCACGTGCGCCATCACTACATTTAGTGTGAGGGGCCAGCTGGCGCTCTGGTGGCTCACACCGAATTCGTCAATGAAGGCCACGTAGAAGAGTGCACTGTTCTTCGATATCAGCATGGCCAGCAGGGCCGACATCGCCGACAGGGGCGCCAGACTCCAACAGCGGTCCACAACGATGTCGCGACGGTCTTCCAGCTCCTTTGCCATGGCAGCGCCGTGGTTCATACCTGCATGCAGAAGTTAAAAGAGAATCCCGGCTGTGGCGGCTGCGATTCTAATGGACACGAAAATGGTGTAGGGCTGTGTGCTCAGATTTGGGTGCACGTTAATAAACCCCAGGTGGTCGAAATTTCCGGAGCCCTCTACTACGGCATCTCTCATAATCATATGGTGGTTTAGAGACGTTAAACTCCACATATCAATCACGTTAGAAGACAAAGAAAAAAAAACAAAAAGAGCACCCCAGGTTTTTACTGAGAACATATAAGGTTACACTAGGAAGGGCTTACTCAAATGCTTCTACCATCGTAATTACTCGCCAAATAAACGCATTTGCTCGTTTCCTAAAAACTGATGGAACGTTTGTGGGTGCGTTAATATCAGGCCGGGTAGATTTCACGAACACTTTTTTTCGGCGTAATCATATTGTGGTTTTGGGGCGTTAAACCCCACGTGTCAATCAATCAATGAATGAAACGTTGACGTAGAACTAGGCGAACGCATCTTTTCCGCCCCAGCTTCTGGCTACACCTACGTAGTCAAGGTTGGCATATGTTTTTACGCCTTAGCTCGCGCCAGGTGAGCACGGGCAGCGAGGTATATTCAAGACGGGCGAATCATTCTTACTTCGGGGCGCGTGCTTGGGAGTTTTCACCGCCACTTCAGTGTCTTCTCATAGGCGTCACCTCCTCACATAAGCCCCCATTTCAAGGAGTGCTCTATATAAAGGAACACTGTCACTTGAAGATAGACAGACAGACAGACAAAGAACTTTGTTGGGTCCTGAGAAACGCTGCTCCTTTAGAGCAACGTCACGGGCCACTCCCACGTCGGAACGGGGAGCCCTAGCCTCACTGCCCAATGATCACATTCACATGGTCTCGACAGCACACACTGAAAGACAGAAATGCCATACACTCTTGTTAACAATGTCGTACCCACCTTCAGCAGCGTAATAATATAGAGTGGTAATTGATATGTGGCGTTTAACGTCCACAAACCACTATGTATGAATGAGAAAGAGGCCATAGGCAAGGGATATGGTATTTTCTACCACTTCACGTTCATTACCGTGCGCACAAATCTGAGCACACGAGCCCACCGCATTGTCGCCTTCATATAAAACGCAGCCGCCTTGGCTGGAATTCAATCCATTGAGCGGCTGGTCAGCCAAGTATCTTAGCCACTAGACCACAGTATAGCACCGCGGCGGTGCTATACTGTGGTAACAGCACTAACACCCCAACGCGTGCAGCTTATTGTAACAGTCGTATTGGTGGGGGTCCGCGCGTCACAGGCGTCTGAAACGACCCCCGAAGAATCATGAGTTGTTTCACCAGTTACGGTTGCCGGTTGTCTAATAATCAGCAACTTATGTAGAAGATTCTTGGCCCAAATGTATTAAACAAACCGTTATAAAAATATCGTCATGCATGGGATGACACTCGATCAGCATCGCTTTAAACATATGCTTTTCTAATTCAAGACGAAGCATCGTGTTGTCTCGAACAGTATCCTGAATAATCATTCTATCAGCTTTGAACATACCACCTAATACATCTACGCTTTGAAATCACAACTCACGGCGTGTATCTGAAGTGTCTCGAAGAGCAGCTTTGTAGCACGCAGGTAATCAGAGCGAGAATGAAATTCCTCATAAATGAATGCCGCGTGCGGGAGAACTGCACAGGAAAGAGTGAAGTTTTTTTATATCTCACAAACTTGCGGCGAGCGGATTAGCACCATTAAGATTTACCCTGGCACGCCAGTGCATTAAGAGAACGTGGTGGATACCTCTTTTTAGAAATGAGTATAAAACGAAAGTGAAGCGTGTCTTTGCCGAAGAATAGTTGAGCATTCATTGCGCATCACTTCACCTCGAGGGCAAGAGAACGAAAGCAGCAGTAACAAACCACAATGCCACGCGAAGAACAGCAAGCAGCTCAATACTTGCAGCGCACACCTCAAGCATAAAGCACGCACGCAATGAGCGTACACAGGACGAGCACGGAGACACAACTGTTACATCTCGACAGTTAAAGCACGCTGCCCAAACGAAAGACGCGGGATATGAACGCTCAGGTATACACAGGACGAGCGCCAGCAGCGGTGCCCATTCTTCTTCGTGTGCGAGCAGCGCGCTCCTTTTGTAAAAGCGGCTGTGGCAGTGAGCGAAATGACGTTTGTGCTCTCTTCATCTAGTGTAACTTCAAATCAAACCAGCTATGGAAGCACAATAGGTACAAAGCACCCTAATCCCGCAGCACTATGACCTCTTGAGTGAGCGCGCCGTATGCGCGCCCGTCGGGCTATCTCACTACTGATGACGGAAACGCGCTCAAATTTCCGAGCTGTGATCATCGCCAGTGATGGTCCTCAGAGCTCGGCTATTTGGCAAATGGCTCAGCGTTAACATGTTGAAGAAGTGTGAACAACTCTCGATGTGAAGAACTCATGCAGTGTTAGCCATCAAGGTTTTTTTACTAACGCTTGAGCACTTATTGTCGCTATGTGATTGTACTTTTCTTTGTTCTATTTTTGTCTTTATTACGCAAAGACATTATTAAATATAATGACAGAAAGAAAAAGTTGCGGGGATTCCTAAAAGAAATTGTTGATACTGTCAGTTTTTTGAAAGCCAGGTTTACCTTAGAGTATTTGTATACTATTAACAGAACAAATTTAACCGCTGCACTTGTTAATAATCTTTTCCCCGAACCTGTTTATCGGAAGCCATATTCGCTTCTGTCTGGTCATGATGTATTATTTCGTGTACGTAGAATGTCTATATCTTCTTCAGCGAAAACATTTTTCTTTAAACTGCACACTTCCACGCTGCCAGTGAAAACGTGGCTGAATGAAAAATCAATATACGTACCCTGGACAGTGAATTGTAGACTCTGCAACCAACCTGAGACTATAGAGCATTGTTTTATTCATTGTCGTGATGCATTTTACTTTTGGGACATTCTAAAAAGAACGTTAAGAAAAGAACTTCCAATCACAGCCCATGGTATTAGGTTCCTTCCATTCAAAAAGAGTCTGACTGATAGTACTCCTTACGACCTGTTTATGTTGTTAGGACTTTATTCATTATGGAAAAGTCGCATGATCGATAGACACGCAGAGCCACCACGGTCGACGAGATCTGTCTTCCGAAAAGCAGCTGCTCAAGTGCGCAGTGTTGTCGAGACTTTTGACCCTGTTCCAGAGTGGCTTCCCGTTCTTGACGCTTGTGTGTGTTTGCCTGACTTCTGATGAAGCATGTTCTGTGTACTTTACTGATGATAATGTCATTCATTAAAGCAAAAAAATTGGTTAATGGCATAGTCGTTAGCGTTGCGCGCTGAGAAACGCGAGGTCACTGGTTCGATGCCTCGCTGCGCAACTTCTTGTTCTCGCTTTTTTTGTGCAATCTGCTAGTAAATACTTTAAGTCATCATATCAATCACGGAAATAAGTCATAGAGCCGTAATAGATCTTGGCATAAAGCACTTTCTTAATATACCTTCTACTATGAGCACTCATTTGGGGACCATCAGCACGTTGTAGAAATCATGTCTCTCTCTCTTCTTTTTTTTTTTGCGTTTTCCGCGTTTGTAGCACTGTATTTTTCATTTATCGTTGTTTCCGCTCTTGGTTACCGCATTACATGGTTTGAGCAACAGGGATTGTTTTTCCGTGTTCTCATGCACGGTATAGATTTACGCAGCAACACTTAGCGTCAGACGAGATTGTAGTTTGATTGATTGATATGTGGGGTTTAATGTCCCAAAACCACCATATGATTATGAGAGACGCCATAGTGGAGGGCTCCGGAAATTTCGACCACCTGGGGTTCTTTAACGTGCACCCAAATCTGAGCACACAGGCCTACAACATTTCCGCCTCCATCGGAAATGCAGCCGCCGCAGCCGGGATTCAAACCCGCGACATGCGGGTCAGCAGCCGAGTACCTTAGCCACTAGGCCACCGCGACGGGGCAGACGAGATTATAAGGAAAGCCCCTACACCCGAGTCTTTTGAGGCGATTTGAAGGCATGTCGGCATCATTGTTGATTTTCGAGCAAGGTGTCTGCTCTAAAAAAATAAAATTGCACATCTCAAGGCTTGCGTCTGCGTGGAAACGTATACATTCTGCTCTAGCTACAACAGCCAGAAGCTAGTTCACCAGCTTCACTTGAAGGATCTTTATTTTTCTTTTTTTTTTGTAACCAAGAGCTGCGCGTGCTTGTGTTAAGCACAAGGACGTGCATTTCGCGTCCAATACCCATCCTTGTGTGATGAGCTCTGAAACAGTGTTGGATTCAAACATGGCACTGTCTTTTTATGACCGGCGAATGCAAAGCTCTACAGGCACATGCAATGTAGAGTTGCACTGTCACTGCGGCATGTTCTCTGAATTCCTTCGACTTTGCAAGCCTTGTGTCAACATCACGCGAACAGCTGATAACCAGTTTGCAGTAAAAATGAATTTATACTGTGCCTATAGGTACATTGCTCGATGCTATTGACAGGTATTTTTATTTCGCACCTTTTTTTCTTTTTTCATTTTATCGGGACGTTACGTTAATATATATGCAGAACGGTATAGATCAATGAGCTGCGACAACATAGTCAAACCACAATTACACAAAGCTCTGGTCAATGTTCATAAGGTCCTTACTGTGATGACCACTTGAAGAATTCATTAGTTATAAAATTGTATGTAAGTCCAAGTTTTCTTACGCAAAAGCTACTACTACTAAGCTTTTAAGCTATGCAGGGTTCTAACAAACACCAAAAACTACGTAATTATGAACTTCGAATACAAGGCGAATATGATGAAAAAAATCTAAGAATGTTTGGCAAAAGTATAAGTTCATCATTCCCAATAACCATGGTGGCGTGAATACGCGTGTGTAGTTTGCTTCATTGGCAATTTTGTTTTGCTTTTCAATACAAGAATGTGCGATTAACGTATCTTTCCGTTTTAACAGTCCCTGGAATTCCTCACATGTTTACTATG